GTGTCACTGGCCCTCATATGTGGGATCCGAACCGGGGCCCTCTGGCATCCCAAGCGAGTTCTTAACCATCGCGCCACTCGGCCGGCCCTGGGAAGACTTTTGAGGAAAAGAGGAATGTGCTGGTCTGAGGAGGATGGTAGAGAAGAAATAATAAGTGTGTTGCTGTGCTAGGAAACACAATATCCATGTTCCAGGTAGTTCAAAAGAATATTGTTTTGATACTTGAAAGAGGTCATATAAGAAAAAGTGAAAAGCAACTCTCCTGTCACTCCCCTTGGCCTGGAGATGTCTCAGTCCCAGCGAGTGGCTCTTCAGGGAAGAGGCAAACCCACAATTATATAGGGGAGCTGCGTTGTCTTTCCCTTCTCTTGGGCCAACTTATGCCAGAGGTCGGGGGGATTGAGTTTGGGAAGGACGTGAACAGGACGCTGTGCCTCTGGGTGCATAAATGTTGCTAAGAACGGGCACGTGGATGGGCACGTAGGCTGGAACTGCCGGAAAATTAGCCACCTGGGAGCAGGTCCTACCAACACCTGACAGCAGTGGGTGCGTAGACACCTCGGCTTCCTCTCACGTAGGCTGAGGCAGCATGGGCTGTGTGTTCTACCCTGGCTTCCGGGGTTCTCCAATGGGATTAAGCTCCTGTTGCCCACAGCAGCAGCAAGCCTGAGAATGTACCCTTTATTGGCTCACTTACCCACCCAACTAGTGGGGCTTCCTTCACCTCTGAGATAAACTGCCTGCCCTTGAATTCTTGCCTCAGGTTGTGCTTCTGGGGGAACCCGAACAAAGCCCATAGGGATGCACGTATACTCTGCACCCTCTTGGGAAAACCCTTCCATTGACTCCTGCTCGGAGGTGAACAGCACAGTGCTGCCAGGAACCTCATTGGCCCTGTCTGTCAGTCTCACGTGCCTGATCTGCTTCCAGTAGCCAGCGCTTTAATAAACTGAGCAAAACCCACACGGTGTGCTTACCACCACTCACAGATAGTCTAGCAAGAAAAATATGGTCTTAGTTTCGAAAAGACACAAATCCTATTCCCACTTTGCCCTGTCAGCTTTGCTCCGTGTGGGAGCTTCGTGCTGTCAATACTCCTCCTGGGTGAGTAGCCCGCGAAGGTTCCGAGTCTGAACGATTACCCCAAAGCAGGTACTGTGGCATAAGTTTCCGTGCGTGGAATACACATAACAGCTTGAGTTAAATGGACCCTAAACATATGGCATTGTTTTCTGTGTTTTCTAACACATGGCCGCTTTCTCACATCTCAAATCAACTGAATATGAGAAGGTTCTAGGCAAATGTTCTGGGAGGCTTAGCCACCAGGAAATAGATTTTTGGTTTGCTTAAATATTTGGGGGGTGGGGTATGAATGATGAGGGCAGACACTCTTTGAAGACACCTTTAATATTGTGGTGTGGTAGCCCAAGGTAAGGCCAGGTGATGACTGGAATCACCTGCTCTCTGGACCCGGGCTTCAGACCCTCTTCTCTGACAGGCAGAACGCCAGCAGCCATGGGATGTGAGCTTGATGGATGGGGGTTGAACAGCTGGGTGCCTTTTTCATGGGAGTGTTACTGACGGGGACCAATGAGTTGTGGAGACCATCTCTCTTCCTGTGCCCCGATGTTCCTTTCATTCTGCATGGATTGTCACCTATGTATAAGCTTATGTCGCATGCTCAGGGGCCACCAGATCAAGTTCTTAGAAACGCCCCAGAATATATAGAATGGGTCTGTTCTCTATTGACCAGATTCCATGGAGGAGTGGGGCAAGGCCCCTTTCTGAGTTTCAGGAGTTAAAGATGATGCAAAACCAAACATCAGATGGTCCTTTCCTTAAGAGACATGGATTTTACTCACTTCTCAGAGGTTCTGTACCAAAAAAGGTAGCAATATGCCTGTAGGACACCAGTTCTCTGCAGGTGATGATCCACAGGGAAAGAAGCAAAGCAGGCTCATTAGGCATTTCCGCCCTGAGCAGCTCGCATAACCTTGTCAGTCCTCCCAAACCACAACCCGCAGTGCTGTCCTTGTTACTGAAATGGGCTCACCAGAGTTTCAGGGTGCTGCCCTCCTAGCTCGCCCTGGGGCAACAACTCTACTGGCCCACAGCTGGTCTCTAGGAGACCCTGTAGATTGTGGTGTGGTCAGAAGCTCAGTGGGCTTCGGGTATTTTCAGGCCTGCTATGCCTGCTCTATCCTTCATGCCCCCAATATATTAATGCGCACATAGTAAAGGGTTTAGAGAGGGACTTATTCATACACGGTGTTACCTGTGATATCTGTTATGAGACAGGCATCACCAGTCTGCAGTTTGGGCTGGGGTGGGGTGAGCTGTCTGCTATAGAAGCCAGGCTGCTGTGCTTACCTTACACTCCTGGGGAGAAGGAGAGAGCCCTTCCAGTTGGTAAGAAAGTCCCCAAACTTCATGTGCAGACATGTGACCAACGAGCCTTCCACCAGAGCCCCATCTCTGTGCCAGTTAGGGGTTCTTCTCTCTGCACCTTCCCTGATCCAGGCTGCACTGCCCACTGGTCACCCCTTTCAAGGCTGTGCTGCACATTCACAGTGAATTGAGTTTCCTTATAGAGTGACTTGAGGACAGGGCGCCCCATTTTAACTCTCCAGACCCCCCTTCTTCCCTCCGGGTTGTTGTGGCCATAAAACAATGATTCTATAGCCCCTTATGTGAAAGAGAAGGGAAAGACAAAGGAAGAGGTCTCCTGGGCTGGAAACATGTAACTTTCTCTAAGTGACAAAGGATGAGGATGGCTTTACGAAGCCAGGAAAGAGACAGCTGTTTCCTCAATGGAAACTTCACACAGTAATGCCAGCCTTGGGAAAAGCAACCGCCGGGGGAGGGGGGGGGAGTGTGTGTGGGGTGAGGAAGTTGGGCAGCTCTGAGTTTTGGCTCTAGCACTTTCCAGCTGTGTCTCTAAGTCTCTTTCCTTCTTCATCTGTAGTGAAGTTAATAATTTTGACCATCTCACAGAGCTGGTGTGAGAATTAAAGAAGCCCGAACAGGAGAAGCGATATACAGGATAATGCGAGATACCCATCATGCTGCTTAGGCAGTGGAAGTTCATTGCAGAGATGCCGAATGGGGGACGAGGACCTGTCCTGCGTGGGGTCTATCCTCCCTTCTCCATCCTCTCTGTGTCCTGCCGGCTGTCCCTGTCCCCCAGCGCTCCCACCCCACCTGGGCTCACCCGGGACCGGCTGCAGTTGCGCGCGGCCGCCTCTAGATGGAACTTTCTCACCAACACAAGGCCGGGCCGCCGCTGCGCCCAGCACGGCGGGGCGACCAGGGCGCTCGCTCCGGCTCTCGCCGCCGCAGGTGCGGGGCGCCTGGGCTGTAACTCGTGGGGCGGGCCGCGGGACTGTGCACTTCAGCCCGGCGAGTTTCCATGAGCTCCGGGCGAAGGGAATCCCGAGGTTTCCCGCAGACACCCAGCCGCCGCGCGGCGCGGGTCACCGGGAGTTCCTGCGGGTGTCCGCGGCTCCTTGAATCAGCTCAGTAAAACGACGGTCCCTTTGACCGCCCGCGCCCCGTTCCGTGCTGTGCCTGCAGCGGGACCGTCTCGTGTCCACCTCGCACTCCGGCGGCTCGGTGGAAGGCGCCCCTCCACCCCCCGACCCCCACCCCGAGATCATCCCGGGCGAGGGTGCGGGAGACCATTGACCAAGCTGCGGGGCCGGACACATGGCCGAACAGCCAGCCGCGCGGCCGGAGGCAAACTTTGCAGGGGAACCGCGCGGCCGGCGGGTTCTACTGTGAGCACCCCGAAAGGACAGCGTGTGGCGGGACACTTGCCATCCACCAAGTGTTCTTCACAGGGACCCCTTTCGGAGCTGTGCTCTTGAACTAGCAGCCCGGGCTTGCGGAGCCCGACGACGTGCCCCGGGTGGGTGGCCGTCGCGCGGCGCCTTCCCGCGTGGGTCCTGCGCTGGTCAGGCAGACAGAGCCGCTCAGCTCCCGCCCAGCCATCTTCCTCCTTCTATCCACCCCTCCCCGCCCCTCTCCCCCTCTCCCCGCCGCCTTTGGGTCCTCCCTTTTCTGTCGGGGGCGGGCGCTGGGGGGTGATTTTAAAAAATCAGAACTGTTGACATTTCTGGTCCCCGCGAGGATGAGGGCTGCGGTGACGGAGCGCGGAGGGGAACCCGCCGGCCGAGCGCCCCTCTCCGTGCGCGCGCCGGGGCAGCTCGGGGACGCCGACATCTAGGAGCTCCCGCCCCACAGGGTTCCCTCCTCCCGCTTCGAGAGGTGACTGGTTGGCGCGAAGCGATTGGCGACTCCGGGCGCGATCCCGGCAGCGGCTCCCCCGCGCTGCGCCGGGTGAATGGCCGCGGGCGGAGGATCGGGAGGCGCCGGGCGCAGACCAATCGCGGCCGCCGGTGGGAGTATTTGTTATTCACATGGAAGAGACTTGGCGCCGGCAGGGCCAGCTCAGCCCCCTCAGCCCCAAGACCAGCCACAAGTGCGGCTGCGACGCTCGCCTCACGCGGCGGCGGCGGCGGCGGCGCTGACATGGAGCTGCGGTCTCCCCGCCGGCTTCCTCACCGCGCCCTCTGCGGGGAGCAGGGTAAGACTCGCCGAGCGCAGAACCCGGACGAGAGGAGAGCAAGTGCCGAACCACAGGAAAAAGCCCCCACCCCAAACTCCCCCCAAACGCCGTGGTGGAGGAAAAAGGAGACCCCCCCCACCCCCACCACCTCCCCCAGCCCCGTCTTGAATTCCGCGTTCCGTGTTCTCCCAAACCGCCCGCTCAGTGTACAGCCAACCAGGTGCACCGCTGCTTCCCAGAATCACTTTAGTGATTTGCTTTTCCTGGGCACCGTCCATGGCCTTGCACCCCCGGAGTCTGGGAGAGAACGGGCGGGCGGAGGGGAAGGGAATGGGGGGCGAGGGAGAGCGGGCACCAGGGGGCGAGGGGCTGGCCGGGCATTGGAGCTTGATTGGGTGTCTGTTGATTTTACGTGGCAAAGAACCAGGCAGCCACCCTCTTGTCTTCCCATGATTACATTCCAGCGAAGAGGTTCAGAAAAGAGGGAGGCTTAGCTCGGGACTCCCAAGGCTCGGAGATGTGATCCCCCAAAAGTTTAGCTGGAGAACGGGAGCCTGAAGGGCGAGGGAAGGGGGCTGGCGCCCGGGTTGCTCTGCGGGCGCGCGGCGGCGGATTTCCAGGCGCCCTCCCTCGGCTGGCCTGCCCTGGGTGACCTCCCGGACCTGCCCTGGCGGAATCTGGACTTGCCCGCCGGGATGACGAGGTACCTCCGTGCTGCGAATCTAACTATCGGGAGGGATTTCCGAAGTTGGACATGCGTTGGGGTAACCCCGGTCTTCCTGAGCGTGGGACTGGGCGATGCATGTGAAACCAGCAGCTGGGAAGATGGGGGTCGCGGGAGAAGCCGGGCGGCGTGGGAGTTCTCGAGACCCCGCATCCCCGCACGCCTGCCTGGAGTTTGCGTTCTCCGAGTTGGCGCGGCTAGGCTGGAATTTCCGCGCCCCCCTTTTGTGGCTTTTGGGAAAACACTGGAGTTCCGCGTCCTGTTGGGGGCGGGGGTGGGGAGGCGGAATGGTCTCGAGTATCTGGAGTTTAAGAAGCAAAGGCAAATGCGTCGGGCAGCTCCTCCCAAGCACCTGCGGCCAGTCTGGCCCCAGTTGCGCGCGGATCCGCGCGGGGTGTGGGCGCTTGGGGCGGCCAGGTGCGGCGGGGCGGAGGCTGGATCCTCGCGCGTGCCTGGGGCGGCGCGGGCAGACCCCTGCGGCGCGGGAGAGGCGACAGCCACCAGGTACTTCTCCCAGGGCCCCGGGCTCTATTGGAGCCCGGGTTCAACAGCTGAAGGAACCCAGAAGAAAAAGGAAGATGCGGCTGGGAAGAGGGGAGCGGAGGCGGGGTGAGTGGCTGCGGGCTGAGAGAGAGGTAGAGGTAGAGAACCCGCTGAGCCGCGCAGGGAGCCAGCCCATCTGCTCTGCCAAATAGCTCGGAGATCCCTTGAGTTTCGTATAGTTGGCGAAAATATAATGGAATCACACACACACACACACACACACACACACACACACACACACGCACACACGCATAAAACCCGTCTGTCTCACGCGCTCCCTTAGTGCATATGAAATGCAGAGGGACGCGAGAGTCACTCAATTGCGCAAGACGGCACCCTCACGCTTCCTTGGAAAATTGTTTTCCCCGGGGCCCAAACTGCAGAGCCTGAGGTCAGAGGTGTCTGGGCGCCCGGGACGGCGGGGGTGAAAATAGACCTGTCCACCAGCTGCAGAAAACCAAACCTCGCAGTCCCCGAAGCGAGAAGCAAGTCGCCCTGGGAGGGCATGATGCCGCGTTTGCCATTTGGGGCGATCCTTTCCCACAGACTTGACGGCATGGGAGTCTCGCGAACACTCAAGAATATACTACTGTCTCCACCACTTACCCCGATTGAATACAAATCCTGCCGAAGGACAGAACTGGAAATCAGGGTTGGTAGTGGAGATACAAAAACACACACACAAAAAAAACATAAACGGGACAAATGCATTCCCATGATAGCATGTATTTTGCTTGAAAGAAAAAATAAAAAGAGAAAAAGAGCCACCAGCAGGTAGATCTTGGATAAACACTTGACTGTAATTTCTATTTTCCGTTATGAAATTGTTTGTCAATAATTGCAAATGGCTACAGAAACCACTTTAGCTTACCTTAGGCACTGGCTTGTGAATACAGCCTTGAAAGATCTCTGTAGGAGACAGAATCGGCTGAAACTCATTGCCTGGTTTTTGAAAGTGTGTGGTTTGATCATTGTGAAGAGAAAAAGCCACATTCATCAGGGAAAATGAAGTCAGATTTTTAAATGCAGTTTTCCCATTTCAGAGTCAACTACAGGTTGTATCATACATGAGATAAAGACAGAGAATTCTTGCTTTACAATCTGGGACTCAGGGAGAAAGAGCTGAGGGGAAGCTCTCCAGGACAGGATTTACCCAGAATAAAGAAAAAGATGCTGAGAACACAGTTCTTTTGTGTTATTTGGGCTTGATTTGTTCGATTTGATTTGTGTTAGCTAGTTTTGCCTGACCAGGCTCCCTTTGCAAATTATGGCTACTTGACTAATTCCAAAAACATCTAAATCCAAAAGGAATAGATAAAAGGAAGAGTTGAGCTTCAATGAGCTCAGGAGAAAGTTAGAGGTCTGCAGAGATGAGCTCCTTTGGAAGTTGGCTGGGCAGGTTGGAGCTGCTACAGGGCTTGTTTAATTGGTATTTATGCAGCAAGCAACCAGCTGACATTCATGTTGACAATCCAGTGCCAATCTCTGTGTAGGAATGTTCCATTGTCTTCAGGGCATGAGGCACAGAACACTGTACACATAGGCTTCTGGTAGCAATGATGCTTTTTTCCCCACATGCCTTTCCTACTGTCTTCCTCCTGTAGTTCCAATGCCCAACATGAAGAGCACCTTGCTTTAGTCTGGGGAGTGGAGTTGCTCTGTTCCGGTGTCTTAAAAAGAAGGTGCTGCCTGAATTTATCTCTTAACTGGACTCAGCTTAGACCTGGACCATCTCCATGCCTGTTGAATAGGCTGGCTTTCCAAGGTTCAGGAAACTGTTTTCTTGTCCAGCCGGATTGGACATCACCAGATTCACACATGCACTTTGCTCAGGAGAAACTAGTCACTCCATGTTGTTCCAGGAGAGGATGTGAACAGAGAGCCCCTGGGTCATATTGGTTCCATCCTAACAACGGGTTTTCTGTCTGCTAGGAATTTAGATCCCTCCCTTCCCCTTCCTCCCTTTCTTCCTCCCTCCCTTCCTTCCTTCCTTCCTCCCTTCCTTCCTTCCTTCCTTCCTTCCTTCCTTCCTTCCTTCCTTCCTTCCTTCCTTCCTTCCTTCGCTCAGAGAGGTGTTTTCTTTGATTTTCATATCTACTTGGTGCTTTGACAAGTGGTGACGAACTCCCTGACTGACTATGGCCCTTGAACGTGATGCACTCTGATGCCAGGACCTGCCTCCTGAAGGGCTGTCACTGTTGGAGTGATTCAGGGGCACTGCTGAGAGGCTCCTGATAATTCCCAGCTTTGCTTGTTACATTGCCAGTCTTTCCCATTATTAGAGACATTTCTTTGGTAAAGGAATTATGGCTCTCCTGGAAATTATCTTATAAATGCAGATGTTCCAGCTGGGGGATGACAGTAATGCATCTTCAGGTTCTGATACCTGTTAATGAATCTACTCACTCCTTGGGGAGGGCTAATGTAATGAGGGAACCAGGTCTTAAGATTGTGACCTGTAGGACACATCAGCACTGAGGCAGGGAGGACAGCCAGGTCTGGGGGAGGAGGGAGCAGGTGGGCAGAAGAGGGAAGACGTAGGACAGGCCCAAGAAGGGTACATGGAGATTATTGAGCACCGGTGTTGCAGTTTCATACTTTTCCAGATGAGGTTATGCCTAAAGATAGAATCTGCTGGCTGTTTGTTGGCTAACTTTTCCAGTGGTAATGACCCCGAGTGGTAGAAGCTCTGCATTATATCCTGCATACAACTTAGGAAGGTTTCCGATTGTCCTCTTCTCACTGCAGAAGAATATCTGGCCACCACTTGCTTCAGAATAGCCCTTTGGATGGTCCAAGTGTCCGTGATCTTCAGTCACCCAGGTCAGATATTCCGCTTCCATGGACTTTTCCTCATGTGTCCTCCTTTCCAGCTTTCCTTCTATTTCCTTCGATTTCTGGGACACATGAATTACTAAGATCTGATCAGCCCTGAGTGTGATGGGAAAGTGGTTTTTTTCAGGTCTTCTAAGCACAGTACTCCAGCAAAATATTTGAGTTCTAGGACTGATTATTAAACTAATAATATCCCTGTACGTTCTTATCATACTGGCAATTTATAACGTGCCTTTGCGTACATTATATCATTTCATTTCACAACCTGGGGAGGTGGCCAGGAATCATTCCTCAGTTTAGAAACAAAAAAACTGATCCTGGGTTAGGTGACTTGCCTGATGTCATATGGTGAATGCTGGGGGAAGTGAGATTAGAATCAGGGACTTCTCGGACCACAGGCGGCCACCCTCACAGTCCCTATGATCTAATCAGGGTTAGCTTGATATCCATCATGGTGTCCTGCACCCAAGGGATGTGGAGTAAGGGAAAGAACGTAGTATTGGCTTGTCGGGAAAGTCATGGCGTATTTTTCTGCTTTTCAATGCAAAAATGCGTCATGACTTTCCCGACGACCCAACAGCAGCAGTTCCACATTTGAATTCTGGCTCAAGATTTTAGACACATTCATATAAACGTTCTGTTTTTCGGTTTCTTGTACCTCAAATAGGGGCGATGATACCACCACATAGGTGTATTTTGTGAAGGAAATGAGATAATATGTGTGAGGTTCTTGGTAGACTGTAGGCATTCAATAAATGTGGGATTTACCCCCTGTCTCTCTTCTTATATGATGCGTACTATAAAAGTGTCTTCTGATTACTTTAAATATGATCTTTTTATGCAATAGCTGTGTTATTGAAAAAAAAATCGGGCAAATTGAATTCCGCTAAATCAGATTGCATTTTAAATGCACAGGGGAGTTAGCTATTTAAAGGAAATCTGTAGTGAATTCTTTTGTGATGCACATCATCACTTTGTAATTTATCTGTTTAGTAAGTTGAACTTTTCATGTATCAGGTTTTCTTAATATGGGACTTGCTTGTACAGAAGAGCTGTCCTAACCTTCTCTCACTGATGGGAAAAAGTCGCTCAGCTTACAAACAACATCAGTTATTGTGTTCATTTGGCAAAGCTTTGCTCTAGTGTTTGAGCATAATCTCAAATTCCCTTATTATTAAATAATAGAATCTCAGAACGGGAAGCCAGAAGATACCTTAGGCCTCACACGGCCCATTTCGTTTCTCAGATGAGCAAATGGGAGCACACAGAGGTAATGTGACATGTTTAGTGTCGCCAACCAGTGGCTGTCAGGCAAGGATCCCATTCCAGGCCTCCGCTGCCAGGGGCGGGCTCTGTCTGACCTACCCTCACCCTGCTCCCACCAAGAGTCCAGGGCCAGGTGCACATGTTTCCAAATAGGAGATAATAGACGAATCTGATGCATTTTCTGAAACAACCCAAACGAGCGTGCGGCACGTGTGGGCAGTTTTAAGGGAAAACTGCTGGATTTGCAATTTTGTGAGTTGATGACAATATTCAGCTTAACCTTTGTGTTAAAGAGCTGAATGGAATCCAGCATAGGGATGCTGTTTGGCCTTTCTACAGGAAAAAAAAATATGACAGTTTTTGAATAATGGTATTCTTCTGTAAGGATTTTACCATATCATGTCTTAAAAGCACAGTCGGGGAGCCACAGACTCAAGTTCCAACGTGTATGTGGAAGTGTCTGCTCCCCAGCAGACCCAGGCCAGCAAGACTGTTAAGTGCTAATGAGAAATGATGTGTCATTTACATAGAATAGGCTGGGAGGGAGTAAACAGGAAGGGCTCCCCAGGGCTTAGGCTAATAGTTAAGCCTCCTCCAAGGTGGAGAAGTCCCTCCTGTGGGCGCAGAAACAGTGCCAGGCAGCTGCTCCCCTCAGAGGTCGATTTCAGGTGCGCAGACCCCTCACCTTCTTGAAGAAGTCCCTCAGCACAGATGAGGTTTGTACCAAATCCCAGAGGAAGTTCAGTTTGAGAGAAAAACTGTTTTATTTCAAATCAAGCACAAAAGGGAAAGCGAGCTACTGGGTTCTCTAGCCCCCAAAAGGTTCTTGTTTCTTTAAAACTCATCAACTCCAACTAGGATGAGTTTAGATGAAAGCTCCTAAGAATTGCGTGAGAGCTAGGTGAAACAACGTAGGATTATACAATGAATTCGAGTTTATATAGTTTTCTACACACTTTCAAATATATTTTCCTTAGAATTTAAAAGAGAAACAATCTTCCTGTTGTCAAATCTGTGATTTTTATGACAGTGTACCAGATGTTGAAATAACCTCAATATTCCATTATTTTTATAAGTAGCTCTGATTTTAATTTTAAAGTGACAGAGTTCAGTGACAACCTCACTAACTGGGCAAGGATGGAGAAAGTTGCTTTAGTGGAAAATGAGCTGCAGACTAGATCAGCAATGGTAACTCCTGTTTACTGAGCTCTTAACCTGTGCCAGGCACTGTGCCATCTGTGTGTGCTGTGTGGCAGGTTCTGTCACCCCGTCACAGGCAAGAAAAGCACGCTTTAGAGAGGTGATGAGCCACTGGTTCTATGTTGCAAAGGAGGAGGGTATTTAAGCAAAAATTCAAGTGAGCTGCCTAAGAAATAATAACCAAAACGAACCTCTCGTTTTTTATTTAAGGGCACCCTTCCACTAAACACAGCTAATTCCTGTCTCACTGTTATTTAGCGCCCAACCTTTCCTTAGCGTAAAGCTCTAAACAGACCTTTGAGATGTGAAAGAGACTAAAAATGATTGCAAATGTGAATACTTTGCAAAGAACCTCCATTTTATTACTTCTAGGACCGTACAGCAAGTAGGTAAGGATGATATGCTATTAATGGATGGGCCATCTTTATGTTCTATAATTGAAAACTGTTGGTTCTCTGAAGTGTTTTAAATACTTGGGAGGTGACTCCGTGAAGTGAAGAAAGGCTGGTCTTTGGAGAACAACAGGTCCCCTTGCTTCTGCCATACACATTCCTCCTCCACGTATCTGTTTATTTTGTGCTCTGTCAGGACGGTTATGCGAAGGGTCAGCCTAGCCGTGTGGACCTGGATTGAAGTTCTGAATTAGTGGTCAGAGTTAATGCAGTTTCACTGTCTTATAACTGGTCTTCCTGGGGAAACTGTAAAACACAATCCTACTCTCCTTAGTGGGTGGTCGGTGTAATTTATGGTCCGTCACTTAGATGGTTTCATCCAGAAAGTCAAGTTGACTTTCTAAACGTTTCCTTTTGCGGAATGTCTGAGGGTAGGCTGTTGTTGAGTGAAATATTTGTTTTTCTGAAGGAGAAGCAGCTGCCAGGAGAATTGAGTGTGAGGGAATATCAGTCACATGGTGAGAAAAGTCAGGAGAGGACTAAGTATCTTGGGGCAGAAGAGAGGTGCTCAGGGCTTAGCATGTGCAGGGACTGCTTGTCACTGGTGGAATGGAATTATCTGAGCAGAGGGGGCCATTGGCTGCGTCTCTGAGTGTCCTTCAGGTGAATGTTTGGAATTCAGGGCAATGAGCTACGGCGAGCCCCCTGTTGTAATCTGAAAGTGAAAAACGTGCAGCTTCCTCTGAAGGCTCTTGAACATATGTTCAGTTGTCCTCTAGGGAGGCACCATCCTTCCCTTTGGGACAGGGAGGGCGGGATGAAAATTTCATGAACTGGAAACTGCACAAGTGAATGGAAAATAAAAGCAGATGTTGGTTGGCTAGGGCAGAAGAAAATTGTCTAAATTTCAGGTTTCAAATTCATAGTATATATATTAGAAATGAGCATTAGATTAACCTTCCTGCCAAAATAAGTTGATGTGTTGTTTCTCTTAATTATGTGTGTGTTTCAAATATAAGATTCCCTTATGTTAAGTCAGTTCTTGGTTTCAGTTAAAGCTCCTCAAAAGCCCTTTGAAAGAACTTCATAGAGTTCTTTAAGAGCGAAGGTCCTAGAATAAACTTTTTCTATAGATGTGCTTGTAGACGTTTTCGCTCTAGGTTATTTCCAGCCTTGATGAAATAACTGTTTTCCCCACTGAGTCAGACAAAATTAAGAAGCTCTTCAATTGATTTTCAGCTTTGATTCGCTCCTGGTGATAGTAGGGTCAAGGAGTGTTTACTTCAGAACTGTAAGCACACCCATTGCCTCCACCCCGACGAATTTAACAGGAAACTCTGACAATGGTAATAGGAATATCTTCACATATAACCCTCCCTGTGTGTTTAATTTTCAAGTCCTTGTTTTGTTAGAGAACAATAAGATAATGTATATGAAGTAGCTGACATTCTCTGTAAAATCTTTTCACAAGCTATGAAACTTAGACATTTTGCGCTCGTTGGGTGGATGTCTTGTTTTTTTGTTTGTTTTTTTTTTGGTTATTGAATAATCACTTTTTTTCCTACTGGGAAATCTGAGGCACCAAAAAAAGTCATTAACAGATGACTGGCTTGTTGAATACATCACAGAAAATAACCTTTCATTATGATTTTGTGGACAAGTTTATTTTATTTTTTTATTATTATTTTCTTTTTTTTCTGTTTTGAGAGGTAGAGAAGCAAAGATTTTTATTGAAGTGAAAGTTCAGCTCTCTTATGAGAGGGGGTACCCAAAACTGGGATGCCCCTGTGGACAAAATTTAAATGCTAAATTCAGAGAGCTCTAAAAAGTACAAACAGGTTTGAATAGAAATAATTCCATCAATCACAGGATCTTTACCTTCACAGAAATTTGATTTATTGAAATAAACTGCTAAATAAAAATACTTTCTGGCTTGGGAGAGTCATCCTAGTTTCTGATACTTTTCTGTTTTCCTTGCTCCCAAAATGTCATCAATCTCTCTGTTTAGATGCTGTGCGGCCAGGTGTTCAGAATCATAGGGGGACAAAAAGAATTAGCTTCTTGCTGAATAGAGGAAATTAAGCAAAAAAATAAGAAAAAAAAAAGAAAAAAAAAGAGTTGGTGTAAACAGGGTTTAAAAATACGAAAAATGTAGACCCATTGACCTGAACCCTTTTTTCCCTTCCTCCTGCCTCCAGGAATAATTCTGCTTCAGGGCTGACTTCAAGGATGTGAATTGTTGACCTCATCCCAACATCAGAACCTCAGCTGTTATTCTAACTTTTGCACCATTCCAGGCAAGTTTTCCCCACTGAGAAAACTTGAAATAAAATTGAACCTTAAGGGTCTGATGGAAATTCACTGTGACATTCAAATCAAGAAAACTTGCTGAACCCCAACAGAGCCTTTTCCACATGGGCCCTGATGGTAGCCTCCAGAAGGTACAGCCTCAGGTGGTCTTCCTTCTTCTGTGGCAAGAATAAACTTTGGGTCTTGGATTGCAACCCCACCCGTGGAGAAAATGGTATGCGAGGGAAAGCGATCAGCTTCCTGCCCTTGTTTCTTCCTCCTGACCGCCAAGTTCTACTGGATCCTCACAATGATGCAAAGAACTCACAGCCAGGAGTATGCCCATTCCATACGAGTGGACGGGGACATCATTCTGGGGGGTCTTTTCCCCGTCCACGCAAAGGGAGAGAGAGGGGTGCCTTGTGGGGAGCTGAAGAAGGAAAAGGGGATCCACAGACTGGAGGCCATGCTTTATGCAATTGACCAGATTAATAAGGACCCTGATCTCCTCTCCAATATCACTCTGGGTGTCCGGATCCTTGACACGTGCTCCAGGGACACCTATGCTCTGGAGCAGTCGCTAACGTTCGTGCAAGCCTTGATTGAGAAGGACGCTTCCGACGTGAAGTGTGCCAATGGAGACCCGCCCATTTTCACCAAGCCTGACAAGATTTCTGGAGTCATAGGTGCTGCAGCAAGCTCTGTGTCCATCATGGTTGCTAACATTTTAAGACTTTTTAAGGTAGGTAAAGGCATCGTCTTTTGGACCATTGCGAAAGGATAATAAATTGTTCTGACTCCAATTGTAGGGTTAGGAAGAAAGTGAAGATGGTGGAGAGGCTCATAGAGTTACCAGGTTCCTCAGCTAGAAGATTCTGTGTCTGGGTTTCTACATGGGTTCATTTAGTTCCATTATTTGCAATTCATTGGATTAATTGTGACTTTTTATTCCCCCCTGAACATGTAGAAAGGTGGTCATTTCTGTGACATGTGGAGGGCTCAATATCCTAGAATAGCCTCTTTACTGAGGCTCATTTTAAATCACAGCAAGGACTTTTAGAGTATAATGAACCCCTTGCACATTTATCATATAAAACACCTCTATGGTATTTGAGGTATGAGATAATTTAGTTGGTGAAACTTCTTTAAAGTGGGATGCTCTGTTATGACAAAAGTTTCTGTGTGAAGAAACAGTATTTATTACTAATGTGTAGATGAGTGTGACACGCTGGATATGAGATGGCCATAACATTGTCAGGTTGGTTATACTACAATAGAGCAGAAGCTCATTAATTCAGACCGCTGTGATGCAGATTTGGAATAATTATATATAATTCTTATTGAGTTAAAAGTTCAAGTTTGTAGGATAACTCAAGACTTTTTGATTTAGATTTCTACTCAGATGATCTATTACCTGTAGACTACATTTACATATTGGATACAGTTGGCAAAATGCAATAATATACGTAACAGCACTTTGAAAGTATAAAGTGCCACAAATATGGCTATCGTCGCTCACCATCTTTCATTAACTTTCTCATTTTATTTATTAATATCCATTACATCGTCTTTTGTAATGACATAATTTTTTTAATTGGCAATACTTTTCACTCTGATTTCTTACTCAATGGGACATGACTTTTCCAACTTATTCTGAATTAATGAGGCTTTGTTTTATATTATGAGACAATGTTCCAATGCATATTCGATCTAAAAATATTAAAAGAATATGGATAAGTTGGACAGGCGACAGATCTAGTGACAAAAACAAAGTGATGGAAAACTTCACAAAAAAGATACATGGAATCGAATCACAGGCTTTCTGGTTTGGAAGATACCTTGGGGGACCATCTAGTCTGGTTCACTTCAAATGCTGGCATTCTCTCTGTAAACGCAACCCCCCCCCCCCCCCCCCCCCCCCCGCAAGTGGCTTTCCAGCTTCTCTATGAATTCCCTTAGTTTACGAGAGAGTGCTAAGAGGCAGCTTAGTGACTGTTGTCAGATGGATGAAATTTTCTCGAATGAGGGTGCTGCTGAGCAGAAGCAGCTCTCTGTGTCTAAGGAGTTCCAAAGAGGCACAAACAGGCTTCAGGGAGTTCCAGAGACATGGAGCAGGACATCAGGAAGAGCCTCATGGCAGTGAGGAGAACACAAGATGAAAGCAGGCAGCCAAATGCTCTAAGTCTCCAGCTCTGGGAACTTTCAAGGGAAACTGGAAAGTTGTTAATCATTTTTCTTATGCAGGCTGACCTCTTGCCTGGAGGCGAGATGCGGAACCAGGATTCTATAGGTTTTCCCCACATCCTAGGATCTAGGATTTCTCCCGGCAGTTTTCCATTCTGAGCCGCGTGGCATTTTCTGCTGGGGGTGCTGTCCGGCTCCAGCCACTTTCCCAATTCCCTTCCCTCCCCTCCAACTTGACCCCCCCCCCCCTTCACCAAAGCATCTCTTTTCTGATCTTAACTCAGCAGCCGTGGCCCAACAACACCCACTTTTAGAGAGGAGGAGACCTTCATGAGGCTCTTGTGCGTCCCCTCTCTTCTCCTCCTCTTGTACATTAATTCTGGTTCCCATCAACCCCACTGTCTCCTTCCTGTAGCCTGGTGCCGACAGTAGGCAAGGATTTGAGGAGTGGGGTAGAAGTGACAAGTGCTTATTTGAGATTCTCAAAGCTTGTTTACATTCATTTTGCCACAGAATCAGCTTGTCTGTAAAATGGGGACATTATCATTCCGTTAGGTTGTTGGATGGATTCAATGAGAAAATGCAGCTGAAGGGTTCCACCCAGACCTAGCCATGACCTTGGCCTCCCTGGCCTGTCAAAGGGAACCTGGGAACCTGTTTCGGCCACCTGAAGGGCAGGGTTTGTTTTTATGCAGTCGGACCTGGCTTCTTTTTACTCTGTTCTTTCCTCATTGACTGGCCAGTTCTCTCCTTATTCTCTTGGGTCATCCTGGATGGGCCTTATCTAACCAGGTGGGAGAATCACCACTGACTCTTTGGGCAGAGTCCAAAAGTGCAGGCCAACTCCTGGGGCGGTGACCAGCACAGAAAGGGGCTGCCCTTGCCACCCTTGACCAAAACACCAGGAGTGGGGGACTTTCAGCCTGGAGGGGGTGTTGGTTACGGTGGACGTCATAACTAAGATCAGTACCCTGGCATGGAGGGAGCATTTAATATATGGAAGCGAATGTATTTATTAACCAAAATACCAGCGCTTGAAAAATTTGTGTCTTTCAAAAGTAAGTGAGAGGAGACGGGTGCTCAGCCCGTCTTCCAGCTGAACCTGGAGCCACATGATGCGAATCTGATAATTACAACTGATTGTTCTGCTACTTTCATTTACTTTGATGATGTATGTCTGTGAGACCTCCAGCCAGCACTTCACAAGGATATTAATTATGAAATGATTATGGCCACTCTTGGAATAGAAAATGTTTCTCTTTATGTAAGACTATATCCTATTTAAACACATATGCCAGGACTGACATGAAATAGTAGAATACTTATCAAAGGGATAATTAGCAAATTAATGCACTAGGGATTGGCTTACAGTTCCATTTTGAAAAATAATAATTTGATTAAGCCAAATTCTGTGACTTGAATAAAGGTAAACATTTAGGACAGTTTTATGGAGCTTGGGTCCCTCCAGGACAGTGTAAGACCCATAGAATTTAAAAAGATGCATGGACATAAATATATTGCCACTTACTCCTGAATTAATGGAGTTAATGAAAGTAGAGCATTTTGGTTTGAAAACATACAAAATATTAACCTTGACCATAAGGGATGTAAGTAAGGTCTTGATTAATGAATTTACTCACTGTCCTGCTCAACAATAAACATTAGTTGGGGATCTTAGAGTATAGCTGGGACCTGTTTAAAACTGTATAGAAAACATTTGGGCTAAAATTGGAAGTAGTTTCCAAATTTCTCATTTCTCTTTTTTTGGACAGTCCTGGTAAAGCCATGTCGTATCTGCCTGGGCTAAGTTGTGAAGGACACAAAGTCTTCCAGGATGCCCCATCTTCCTCGTCCTTCGATCTTGCCCCTCCTGTGCCCCTCACCTGTCCTTATATACCTTTACGTTCTCCTAATTGAATCCTGGTTTCAGGGAAGGAGCTATGTTATCAGTCATCTGCGTATACTATGTCGGTGTTTAAGTCAGAGGAGGATTGTATTTTCTGCAGGGTCACTAACTGTGGAATGAAATGACTTGTCTTTGTAAAGGGGTTGCAGGCACCTCTGTGTGTGTGTCTGTGTGTGTGTGTGTCTGTGTGTGTTCATTTAGCTACCCAGAGACTGCACCTCCCTGGGGACAGCCTCCTCTTCCTGGGAGTACAGCTGGCCCTGCTCATCTCTAGAGGGGAGGGGTGTTGTCCTATCTTTGTTTTTCTTCTTATCAAAGCTCAGAGGCAAATGAGAAAATCAGCCCCTGTAACTTCAGAGGAGAGTTGTACCGGGGGCTGGAGCCTGACACCACCTGACACCACCTTCCCTGCAGTCCGGGCCCCTGGGACACTGAATGCTCTCCTCATGTCTCAGGGGTGGGTCAAGTACCTGCCTCCTCACACTCTCCCGGGGAACCATTTTTACTGATTGAAGTGCCTCATATTTCTTAGGTATGTTGGGAGTGAAAACAAGTTGGAGAGTTACAGAACAAGACTTTAATGATCTGAAGTTTTTAGAGGCACTATTGTGTCTTAACGCGCGCGCGCGCACACACACACACACACACACACACACACACACACACACCATATACAAGTTAACATGGGGGCAGAGTGGTCACCTAGGCAATTGTTTAATCCCTATAGCAAGTTAATGGTTTTAGGCAATAGTAGTATCAATTAGGATAATGTGACATGTCAATGCAGAAAAGCAAACCCAGAACTGCTCCATCCTCCATAAAGGTGACAATGCCAGCTTGGTGGCTCCTGTATTGCAGAAACTGAAGAAAAGAGGGGTCCAGCTCTCAGCTAGAGATTGTGGAGCTTGAAAAGAATTAAAGAAGAATGAGAGGGCTTTTTGGAAGTGTTGACTGGGGAGCCCATAATTTAAGTGTTTTATAAAGCAGTCTCAATGAATTTGTATATGTTTTATAAAGAGCTCCGATTTTTTTCTTTCCCTTTTCTAGAACATTTCCACCCCTCTCCTTTAAGTTAGAGTAAATCTGTTTCTCAAAACACTAATCATATGTCTTACTTTGAGCAAAGATAGAACATTCTGAGTTAAAAATAGCACAGTGATGCTTGCAGGTAATGCACAGTAATGTCCACATAGATGCATTGGGGTTATAAAAGGGCTGTGTCAGATATAATTGCTCTCTCATGTGTTTCCGCTTAACTTTACCTAGAGGGTTAACTTTCTACTCTTAAAGGATAGGGGTTAGATAGTCTGTAGTGTATACTTCCCAGAGTAATCAAATGAGACATGTAAATAGAAATCCACCTGTGGGTGGGCTAGTAATTTCTTCCCATTTGGAAGTGTCTGGTTGTAAATGGCTAAAATTGACCTTCATGTTAAGTAAATGGAAGTTCTGTGAGGCATCCTGTTACCCTGGAAGTCTTTGCCTACCCAGCTATGTTTATGAAGATATATTTTCTTCCAAGAGACTCCACTAATTGTAGCAACCACTTCCAGAAAGCCAAGAGTTTTGTGAGTTATTTAGTGCATACAATGGGCTTTATTAACTGTAAACTTTGACAAGATAGATCTGCCATTTCCGGGCTCATCTAATTGGATAGACGGATAAATGAGCCTAGTTAATAAACTTAGCAGGAG